TATGCTAGCACACCACACACATGACAAAACGGTCTTACCTTTGCGGAAAAAGTCGACGACCCACTGTCGTCCGCCATTACTGATCCTTTGCTCCCAGCGTGAAGCTTTAGACGACCTGACTACTTGCAACAGGGCCATGTTTTCTATAATGCGGATGTCTGCATCTTCCCTGAATTGAAGCTCAGGAAAATCGTGTCCATCTAGTCTCTGACTCTTTCCGATATGTCTGTTCTTCCAATGCCGATGGGACAGCTCAGCTTTCAGGTGGTTTTCCTTCTGCCATGGTTTGCACATCCCAGGCCTGAACCGTCTCTTTCGCTCTTTGAGCTCTTTTGCATGAATAATCAGATCATCTTCAGAGGCTCTTGGTAACTGAGACAAGGCTACAATGCCGGACCCGATATAACGTTCGTGGTCGGTACCGAATCGAGTAGACGGCATGCTTTACCACACAAATTTTTCCTTTGCCCTTGGAGTGATGGCGCTCTTGGAGAAAACAAGATCGCAGACATAATGCTTCGTCGAGAATGCACCCTTATGCTGACATGTCAGCATCATCAGCTGTTTCCGCTTTGACACACCCGCTACCCATGACGACTAGGAGTGCACATGTCTGACACTGATTTATGACTGTGTTCCGTCCGTCGCAAGCCTGTATTCAACCAGAGTGTCAACAAGACAATGCTTCCGAGATCGTTTCGCCTTCCTGGCGAGGTCGAGAAACATAAATCCAGTACAACGGCCCACATCGGCGATCTCACCAAGATAATATACCAAAGAAATGGAAGTGTCACTTATGCCATCGTGCCGCAGACCTTCCAACGTGCCAAATACGTCCTCGTGGACAGTTTTGCAGTCAACAACATCCCAAAGAGTATAAGTCCCAAGAAGATTCGCCAAAATGTCGCAGAGAGGCTTGCCCAACTCGGACCCGTCAGTAACCTCTTCACCTTGGATATTTGGAAAAACGCCGCCTTCATTCCTTACCCCAGGGAGTTAGCCAGTCTGCAAGATATCTTGGGTATACGGGACAGCTGGCCATTCAAAGAAAGACATGTCCAGATTTTGGTAGATGACGTGAGCGCACCCCCGCACTCCGCACCTGTTGCGCTAACAGTTGCAGATACTTGCCGGCATATCCAGTCTGCACAAGGTTAACCTGCAGAAGAGTTTGTTTTCGGTGAAGGACATACTGCTTGTACGTCGACAAAACTTGTTGTATTTCCAGATTGGTAAGGCTGTGAGAACCATGCGCAAGGCACTGCTGACGATCTCAGCCGGCCTCGAAGACTGCACATGCTTCGAAGGGATTGAGCCCACGGACAGGCAGGAACTCCAGTCTTTCCGAAACATACTGCAGCTTGTTGATGGGCGAAACAAGGCACATAGATCTGATCTGATCTCTGCCCTGCTATCTACACTATCAAATTCGCAAGTACTTGGCAGCAAAGAACTGGAGGCGGCATATGAGGAAGTGAGGGCGAAAGACGACAAACTGGGGGCGGAGTATCAGAAATCGAGGGAGGATCATGAGAAACGGAGGGCGGAACATGAGAGCCTGCCGTCGTACCACAAGGACATCGTTCGCACGGAACTGGATGTATATATCGATGCTGTGCGTGTACTAGGTACTACCTTTGGTGGGACCATTAGTCAGAACCAAACACCTGAGATGAGGTGAAGGTGGACATCTATAGTCGATATGTCTGATCCTGTCTCGCGCAAGGGCTTCTCCGGAAGCTGCGCAACGCTGTATAGTTATCAACAGCGTGCAGGAAGTCGTTATTCTTGCAGTAAAGCCATTAGTTACAGCACACTTATCAGAAGGCCCACAACACAAAATCACAAAGCATAGGGCACATTTAGACTGTAAAGCACATCTTGTAGTCGAATCGATACTAATCCAAGCTGTTGCAAACGAATCGCCCGCGTGCGGTCAACGGTGTTTATTTCGCCTGGTCAAGCATTTCTCCTAACGGCGAGCAAGTCAACGGCGACTCTCTGCAGCAGGTTCAGCCAGGACACGCAAACTCCTGTCATGTGTTCGCAGGGAGACAGTTGCTCTTCACAATACATCCTAGACTAGCCAAGAGCACAACATACAACGGCTACGACAGCTAAGCCAAGTGTCAGGGCGAAGCAAGGCGCTTTGTAAGACGTAGCACCATCGACTGCAGCGTCTGGAGCGGGCGTCTGGGTTGGCAGCAGCCCACCAACATCTTTCAGCAGATCTGTGGGGACGG